TCCATTTTGGTCTTTTCTTCCTCTTCTGTCTTTGCAATGACCGTTTGCACTCTTCCTGGATGATACCCTTGATATCCTCCCACAACTCATCTGGTCTTCGCTCATTAGTTATTATCCGACAAATAAAGTAGATTCATAAAAAATAAAATTAATATTTGAGTCACCTAACAGATAAATACAGCTTTAACAATGTTTGAGAATCAAGCAAGCAGAGACTAAAGTAAAACTCATTATCAGAGACTGTATGATAGACTGAAAAAAATACCCATGCTCCAATCTTCAAAATCTGTGCATGTGTTACTTTTCATGCCAAAACCAAACTATTTTGTAGATGTGAATGCTGTTGTTGTTTTCGTTAAGTGCCGTCGAGTCATAGACGACTCATAACGACCCTATGAACGAAAGGCCTAAGCACTGTACATACATAGAGTTTCTGGAGGCAAGGCATTTCGGAAATGGATGCCGCTCCTGCTTCCAGGCTTGTTTTAGTCGGGAAGCTCCAGCAAAATTTTAAGATGAGGAGATGGTACTGTAATGTGCAAGTGGTTTCCATGTAGAAGGTGGCCAGAGAACCAACTCTAGAGCTTCTAGAAGGAACATACCCTTACTAACACCTTGATGAGGCAAGAAAAGACCAAAATGGACGTTAGAAGAGACTCTAGAACTTGTTCTTCAATTTGGGAAGTCACAAAAAAACCAGCCCTATTGGCATAGTGCTTAACATGTCAGTCTAAAGTAAAGGAGGTGAACAGAAAAAGTCAAATGGCAACTTAGGAAGGCAAAACAAAGTGTTATAATGAAATATGTGAAGACTTGGAGTTGAAAAAGCAAAAGCAAAGAACAGACTCAGCATTCCTCAAACTGAAAGAAATGCTGTACAAATTCAAACCTCAAGTAGCAATACAGAAGGATTCTTTGGACAAAATCTTGAATGATACAGGAAGCATTAAAGAAGATGGGAAAAAAATTCAGAGAGTCACTGTATTGGCCAACATTGAATCATTTCTAGAAATAGCATATGATCAAGAACCAGTGGTACTGAAGGAAGACAGAGGTCTGCACTGGGCACATCTGTTGTCAAGGATCTCATTAAACTGCTAAAGAACAAGATTATAGTTCTGAAGACTAAGGTATGCCATGGCATTTTCAGCTGGTGCTTAAACATGTTGGACAATGCATAAGGGAACCTGAGACAAAGTGAAGGGGAATTTTCCACTTAAGTGACTTATGGGTAAGGAGTTGTGCTGTCAATTCCTGACTGCCCTGAGAGAAAATGATAAACAATCTCCCATGCGATTTATTGCCTCTGAAAACCCACTGAAAGGTCAGCTATGAGTTGGCTTCAACTCAATGACATACAACAATAAGATGAGACGCCTTTGAGGAAGCTCTAGTGGCCTGGCCTAGAGGCAGGAAACTGCGCTCCAATTCCTAAAGCACATGCGTGAATCCACCAGATGCTCCCCTGGAGAAAGAGGGGCAATCTCATCCTGTGCCTGTCAGATCCGACTTGCAGGTACACAACAAGAGTAAAAAAAAAATAGTGATGCCTTTGAAGTGTGTTTGTGAAGAGTATTGAAAATACCGTGACTACTCAAAGAACAAAACAAATCTGTCGTGTAGAAAGGGCAACCAGGATGCTCCTTGGAGGCAAGGATGATGAAACTTTGTTTTAAATATACTGGCCATGTCTTCAGGCGGGAGTAGTCTTCTCAGGTTTGGAAAAGTAGTGGATAAGAGGAAGACTCTGGAAAAGCTGGATCGACACTGTGACTGCAACAAGGCTTAATTGCTGCGTCATAGTCAGCTGAGCTCGTAACCACACGCACTATCTTAATCTCTAGTGAGGCTACTACTGTACTATTTTTGTTGTGTTCGGTGAAGTCAGAGACGACACTGCTGACCGCCCATGGGCATTGAGAGGCTTTAAATCGTGGTATAGGAGACTGTCCATCTTTCTAGAGAAGCCGGTGGACTTAAACCGAGTGCCGTATGGGTTGGCGGTGTAACTTACTACTAGGACATTGAGCCAACCCATAGAACTGTAGATAGTAAATTTGTGGTGTTTGGGATTTTTTTAAGCCAGTAAATTTGCATTAACGTGTTACAACAATAGTAGGAAACGCATACCCTTTATAAGGTAGTTGAAACTAACATTGACAAAATATCTTCTAAAACATTATTAGATTGTGGGGCTGCCAGCATGAGACTATGGAATAATTCAATTGAATAATTTCTTGGAGACAGAGACAATACCTACAAAAGGGTGCAGGTAGCTTAAAACCTTTAAACCAACTCAATATCTGAAAATCTTGCTACAAAGGAAGTCATATTAAAAACTTTCGAATTCTTTGCTGTCAAGCTTGAACCACTCATAGCGGATTCTCCACAAGGTTTTCTGAGGCTTTAAATCACAAGGGGGAGATTGCCTAGCTTTCTTCTGCAGAGCTTCTGGGAGATTCACATACCCAGAGAGAGGTGGCACGTTTTTATCAGTAGCACATTTTCCTATGCACTTAGTCAGTCGAGCGGCTAAACAAGTTATTTACTTTAAATCGTTAAATATTAACTCTAGTATGTTTTCTAATTTATATTTTAAACTTCTCTCTCTTAAAAAAAAAGGAAAACGCAAAATGCAAACAAACATACAAAAAACCAACCAAGGGTAGCTCTTGATTTCCTCCAAAGGACTTGAAATTTTGAAACTGGGAATGTTTGTGGGTCCTGACTACTCTTTGTCGCACTACCAGATCTAGCCGGTGTTGAGCTGGAGGGCGCCCGAGAGGCCGCCGCGCATCGCCCGGGCGACGGGAGGAGGAAGCGCTCAGTGCGCAGCAATGGTGCAGCCGGGACTGCTGCTCTGGAGTGTGCGCAGCGCGGTCTTCAGGTCGGCGGAAGCCGCGCTCTCGGGTGAGCTCGGCTGCACTGGGGAAGGCGGAGAGCGCCTCACCAGGCCCTTTAGGAAATGGGTGGCTTTGGTTGGAGTTGCTTTTTTGGATTTACAGTTTCATTTACTCTAGACTCCTGGGGATGTAGCATCTATGTGCAGAGCTCTCGGTCCTTCAGATTCTGGAGCCTGAGGTTGCTCTGGGGGACGCAGTGAGAGCAGTAACCATTGCTCGTACGAGCTTGTACTTAATTGGGCAATGGAGGTCAACTCTGGATTCTGGAGAGCGAGCAAGCCGTCCAGATCTTGCTAGGAGAATATGTAATGGCGATCCCTGCTTTGCGAATTTCACTTATGTCCCACTAAAGAGCACAGGGTTTATCTCTTGATTAAATAACCGCCTTGAACCATACTTAACGTGTTAGAGAGCTACAAAAGTACACCACCTCATTTTACAGTTGAGGAAACAAGCCAGAGGCATGAAAATGGTTCGTGGAGGCGATAGGTCTAAATCCAGATTTTCTGGCCTCCTTTCCCTTTTCCACGCTGCCGCTCCTTGAGCATCACCTGTTATTGGGGAAGTTACAGGGGCCGGGAATTAACAACTAGTTTCTCAATTGTTAGTACAACCTCCGTAGTTTAAGAGACATTTACCTATGCAAATTTTTTCTGGATTCATTTTCTACTTACTCAACACTCATTAGTTAAGCGCCTTGTCTTCCAGCTTCCATCTGGGATTCTTTGTAGCTTAAGAATTCAACATTGCTGAGGCAGAGAGGCACATGGGAACAGTCACTCTGCAGTCTGATTGGGCAAGGACAATTCCAGCTATTTTAAGATCTCACCATTGAGTAGAAAAAAGATTGACTTCTGAAAATTTGAAGGAAATGGGGAAACCTTTTTAATTTTCTCACTTTGTATATCTGACAGAAAGACAAATGAAAACAAAAAATTATCTTTTTTCCCCCCAAGGATATAAGGTCTTTGCAACTTTTGGTTTTTCAGAATTTGTAAGTGATAAGAGCTTGACTCTGTCAGCTAAGGCTCCTATGGTTATCAAAACTATTTGAAAAACTTAACCTAAAAGGTGCCAACAGTCTTAAAGTGCTACAACCAGATATTACAACCCAGTATAGGGACTTCAATTTCCTTTATAGATGTGTTTCTCCGTACCTGGTTCTAATCCTTGCAAATGGAGTTTCCTTATTAATACAGTAGTATTAGTGTAGGGTGTGTCTTATAGCGTTGTATTTAGAGATATAACAAGAGATGACTAAACAAAGAAATAGTTAGGTGCCATGGAGTTGGCATTTTTCCCAGCATGATATCTTTTTTCCCAAGGACTGGCCCCTCCTGATAACATGCCCAATATATGTGAGACGATGTTTTACCACACAGATATCTACTCGACCCAACTCATTGCCATTGAATCAGAGCACATTGATAGTTGATCCTTCAGAGGCTGTAAACTGCAAGGGAGAAGGCTGTCCATTGTTCTTCCTTGGAGTAACTGGTGAATTTGAACTGCCCATGTTTGGATTGGTGTGCAACTCCCTCCCCACTAGGTCACCAGAGCTCCATACACATGTTCATAGCCATCCGGTTGAAACCAACTCATAACTGGCCCTCCAGTGGGTTTTCAGAGGAATTTTTGGCCATCTTTTATCCACAGATCAGCTGGTAAATTTAAACCACTTGCTTCTGGGTTGGCCGTGCAATTCCCTAGCCTCTGGACCACCAGAGCTCCCATGCCCTACACATATTGTTAGGTGCTGTCAAGTACAACTCACAGTGATGCTGTGACCAACAAACTGAATCCTGTCATATCCTGCACCATCTTCATCATCTGAAACACTTGAGCCCATTGTTGCAGTTATTGTGTCAAGGAGAAGACACTTGTTGGGAGTCTTCTCTCTTGCCGATCTTCCATCTTTCCAAGCATGATACTCCTTTCCAAGGAATAATCCTCTCCTCACAACATGTCCAAAGAAAGAAAGATGAAGTGTTGCCATCCTTGCTTCCAAGGAGCACTTAGGTTGCATCTTTTCCAAGACACATATGCTTATGCACAACTTTTTTCCCTAAAACACTCCACAATTTTGCAACGAGTATCGGACTTGATGATTGTTAAAAGTAGGTTCAGCAGACTGGAGGGTCATGCCTAACCTTGTGGGGGTCAAGATCTTGTCTGGTTGGATATTATGAGTGTATTTCCTCCGGTGGAAGCAAAGAAAATTGAGAATATATTTGCCCCCTTATTGACTGACTTTCAGCTTATTTCCAGTTTTTTAATATTGTAAATAGTGCTGCCAAAAAACCCATTTGTATGTACTTATGTTAAATATTTCTGAAGGATACCTAGAAGTGCTTAAAACATCATCAGCAGTGTATTTTCTCAATCTTTTAAATTTTTACAAATCCATCACTACATCCAGATTTGTTTAAATTTTGTATTTCTTTAATTACTAGCAAGATTGGCCATTTATATTTCTTATGTGAATGTCTTGTATTATATTTTCTTACGTACTCCTTCCATCTTCTTTTGATGCTTCTTGTGCCATTCAATATTTTTCTTTATTATTGCGACTTGATATATAGTGAAGTTTCTGAGGTTGTAAATCCCATGGAAGGAGAGGTGACTTTGAACCATCAGAGGCTTTGGGTTAGCAGTGCAACTCCCTACAGACTGTGCCACCAGAGTTCCACGTGTCCTTATTCACTAATCTGTACAATGTTTGTCTTTCATGACTTTAACACTTTTTAATGGAAATTATATATTAGATTGGGTTCACCTGGGATTTTCTCCTGTAAGATTTTGGATTATGCATCAGTGGCAAGAATACTAGCCATGATTTTATGTTGCTCCCAGTGCATCATGTCCAAGTGTATGTAAAATCTACAAGGCATAACTCAAAGAGGTTGTGAGTTCATTTCCAAGCAAATATTGCAACAAAGTAAATATTAATATTTTTTATTTCCCCAAATTTGCAATATTATAAAAAATGTGCAAGGAGTTGGAGTCGGAAAATCAAAAGGGCCGAACTCGCTCAGCATATCTTAAGCTCAAGGAACTGAAGAACAAATTCAAACCTCGAGTTGTTATAATCAAGGATGCTTTCAGCAGAACGTTAAATGATCCCGGAAGTATTAAAAAAAAGATGGAAGGAATATACTGAGTCACTGTATCGAAAGGAATTGGAAGACACAGAAGAATTTCATGAAACAACATATGAGCAAGAGCCTATGGTGATGAAAGAAGAAGTTCAGGCTGCTTTGAAGGACATGGCCAAAAATAAGGCTCCAGGAATAGATGGTATACCAATTGATATATTTCAGTTAACAGATGCTGCCCTGGACGTGCTCACCAAGTTGTGCCAAGAAATCTGGAGAATGACCACTTGGCCAACTGACTGGAAGAGGTCGATATTTGTTCCTATCCCAAAGAAAGGCGACCCAACCGAATGTGGAAACTACAGAACAATTTCACTGATTTCACATGCAAGCAAGATTTTACTGAAAATTATCCAAAAACGACTGGAACAGCACATCAACAGAGAACTACCAGAAGTCCAGGCTGGTTTCAGAAGGGATCGTGGTACTAGAGATATTGTAGCTGATGTTAGATGGATCTTGGCTGAAAGCAGGGAATATCAGAGGAATGTCTATCTGTGCTTCATTGACTATGCAAAGGCATTTGACTGTGTAGATCATAACAAACTGTGGCTGACTCTGAGAAGAATGGGAATCCCAGAACACTTGATCGTGCTAATGCGAAACTTATACTTGGACCAGGAGGCAGTCATCAGAACAGAGCAAGGGAACACTGCATGGTTCAAAATTGGGAAGGGCGTACGCCAGGGATGCATCCTATCTCCATACCTTTTCAACCTATATGCAGAACAGATTATCTGGGAGGCTGGGCTCTATGAGGAGAAATGTGGGGTCAGGATTGGTGGACGATTTATCAACAATCTGCGTTATGCGGATGACACAACCCTGCTTGCTGAAACTGAAGAGGACCTGAAGCACCTGCTGCAGAGTATCAAGGACTGCAGCCTACAATATGGATTGAGGCTCAATGTCAAGAAGACAAAGATTCTCACCACTGGACCAATCGGCAGCATCAGGATGGATGGTGAAGAGACTGAGATTGTACACAGCTTTAGTTTGCTTGGCTCCATAGCCAACAGTCTTGGCACCAGCAGCCAGGAAATTAAAAGGCGCATTGCCATGGGAAAGTCTGCTGTTAGGGACCTCTCCAAAGAGCTGAAGAGCAGTGGTGTCTCTCTGGAGACTAAGGTGTGTTTGATACAGGCCATAGTCTTCGCAATCACCTGTTATGCATCAGAGAGTTGGACAATGACCAAGGAGGATAGAAGGAGAACTGATGCCTTTGAGCTGTGGTGCTGGAGAAGAGTATTGAGAATACCATGGACTGCTAGGAAAACAAATAGATTTGTCCTGGAGAGGGTTAAACCGGGTGGCTCCTTGGAGGCAAGGATTCTGAGGCTCCGTCTAACTTACTTTGGACATGTAGTGAGGAGAGACCGGTCCTTGGAGAGGGACATCATGCTTGGGAGGGTGGAGGGACGGCGCAGGAGAGGAAGGCCCTCTATGAGGTGGATTGATTCAGTGACTGGGATAATTGGGATGGGAGTGTCAGAGACAGTGCGATTGGCACAGGACAGAGTGGAGTTTAGGGCTGTTGTACATAGGGTCGCTATGAGTCGCAGGCAACTCGACGGCACATAACAACAACAACAACAACATAAAAAAGCTTGAAACATTGTGAGAATCATCAAAATGTCAGAGACATGAGCATGTGTTGAGAAAAATGGTGTCCACAGACTTGCCTGACGGGATTTCCACAAACCTTCAATTTATGACAACACAGTAGCTGCTAAGTGTAATAAAGTGAAGTTCGATTAAATGAGCTAGACCAGTAAGTCTTATTACTGGTTATGTTACCTTTGGCTAAAAAGATCTCCTACAGCTCTCTCCCTTTGTAATTAGTCAGAATCTTATGGCTAGAAACTATTCAGTTTCATCATAGTTTTACCAACTAAACCTAGCATCAAAATCCAGCATCTACCAATGATTCTTGCCTACATCTATTTGTCATCTGACATTTTACACTTTTTACAATGTGAAAACCACACTATTTTATACTCTTTTATACAGTAACAACAGAAATCTAGCAATAACAAATGCTGAGGTGCAAGAAGAAAATGGTATTGACTGAAATGGTTGTGTCAACTTATCTACCATTCTCAGTGGTTTGGCCATTATGCAATAATATAATCACCCTCCATTTCCACATAATGTGATTTTTTTCCTAATAAGCTGATCTTTGGAACTCATGTTGGTAAATCAAGAGTTGTAGTATTATTGGAGTGTCTGTATAAGACTTATTTTCTCTCAGTCTTCTTTCTACAGTTATAACTGGAATTCCAACGTAAGGAAAATTGTTCCTTTCCTTCAGTTGTTTATTCATTCAGTTATATCCCTGCATCAGTATAGGCCCATAGATTTTTTTGTTATAATATTCTTGTGTTTACATTATAAGAGACAGAAATAGTGCCAGTAAGCTTTTATAAGTATTGCATAAAATGTCAAATCTTCACATCTAATATGTGGCTTATCTTTGCTTTTAAAAAGAAATGAAAATTTAACAGTATTTTAACTTGGATTATGATTAAAATTTACAAATCAGATCTGTAATTCAGTTACCAAATATTTAATGAGTATATACAAACCTCTTACAATTTGTGGTCTAGGAGACGACAACAGAATATGGAGCTTGTACAATGTCAGCTGTTCAGCACTCAGAGCATTAACAGACTATCCTTCTTCAACGTTAGGATGTGTACAAAACACAGAGAAAAAATAGTTTATTAAAATAAAATTGGAACCAGGAGAAAATTCTCTCATTCCATATTTTATAGCTACTTTCAAAAGACAGTCAACTCAATTCATTGCTATGGAGTTAGAACTGACTCATAATTGACCCTCCAGCCACGTGTCTGAGCCTGCAAATTGTAGGGGAGAAGACTGCCTACCCATCTTTCTCCAGTGGAATAGCTGGTGGATTTGACCACCTTTGGGTTCAGTACAATTCCACACAAGGACACCAGAGCTTCTGGTAACATTTTGAAGGTGCCTAAATGGTTTCATTCTTTCCAGGCTTGAAGTCAATAAATGGAAGCTGGTACAATTTTTCTACTGCTGTTTCTAAAGAAATCACTTACAAGGAACTTAAAAACCTGCTGACTTCCAAAAACGTTATGTTAGTTGATGTGAGAGAAACATGGGAAATTCTTAAGTCTGGGAAAATTCCTGGGTCCATCAATATACCATGTAAGTGGCATATATCTTAAGCTTAAATTGATATACCAACATAAATATTTACTGTGCATAAAATGAAATTCTTAACATTTTCTTTCAGTGGATGAGGTAGGCCAGGCTCTACAAATGAATGCAAGAGATTTTAAAGACAAGTACAATGAAGTAAAGCCATCTGAATCAGACAATCTAGTGTTTTCTTGTTTTGCTGGGGTGAGAAGCAAGAAGGCTTTGGACACAGCACTATCTTTAGGCTTTAACAGGTATGTAGATGAAGCATTAAAAAGAGGTAAAAAGATGTTTATTGTGATGTCTCATATGCATTACATATTTTGTCTATTTAGGAATTTAAAACTAATGTTAAACTGAGACTAACTTTTTTCCCCCATTTTACTCAAAAGCACAGCAGTCAATTAAATAGGCATACGGCCTAAATTTATATGGTGACTAGTCACTGCATTTAATGTTCTCAGCAATTATTTACCACAAAGCAGAATAAAATGTTGACAGAATGATGTCCTATGTTTTCAGTGCTCAACACTATGCGGGAGGATGGAAGGAATGGGCAACTTATGAATTCCCAGAGAAGAAAAAAGGAAGTTGAACTGTAGAATTCATATTGGAGTCATCTTGGTGTACAGGCAGCCTAAATAATGGAATAAACAAAAGAATAAACATCTAGTTCTGGCATCACCAGTGGCTAGAGGATAAGTCAATTTACTTGTTGAATTTTTTCTTTAATATTATAAATATCACTCTCCTGCCATGGGGATATAAAGGTTGGAATGCTAAGAATTAATTTTTAAACAGTTTATAGTTCAATAGTACTCTCTAAGGCTAGGTAGTTATGTGAACTAATCATAATGTGCGATTATGTTTGTGTAGCTTCTGTTCATCACAGAGGTTATAAATTGGACCAGCTGATTACAAGCATTAAGTTAAAAATATTGAGAATATAGACTCTAGAGAAGTAGGTGAAATTGATACAATGAAAAATACCTTAACATAAAATTATGGCAATGCTGTTACCAGCACAGTAGTGACATCATTTGTAAAGATTTAATATAATTAAAAACAGGCAGGAAGAAAAGGCAATAAACATTTTGCGTGATGGAAATGTTCTGTATCTTGACCAAGGTATTGATATATTGTTGTTGGGGAGCAGTCTAGTCGACTATGCTGTGGTTATGTTCCCTAAACTCTCCTGTGACTCATAGCGACCTTATGTAGACAGCTCTGAACCCTGCTCTATCCTGTGCCAAACTTATTGTCTCTGACACATCTACCCCGAGAACCCTAGTCACTGAGTCAGTCCATCTCATTGAGGGCCTTCCTCTTCTGCATTGTCCCTCTCCAAGGACTGGTCCATCCTTGCAACATGTCCAAAGTATAATAGACAGAATCCTTGCCTCAAAGGAGCAGCTTGGTTTAACCCTCTCCATGATGAAAATCTTTATTCTCCTTGTAGTCCATGGCATATTCAATGCTCTTCTCCAGCACCTCAGCTCAAAGGCATCAATTCTCCTTCTATCATTCTGAGTCATTGTCCAACTTTCTGTTGCATAGCATGTAAATGTGAAGACTATGGCCTGGATCAGGTGCACTTTAGTCTCCAGACTGATATCGTTGCTCCTTAATACTCTGGAAATGTCCATGACAGCAGATTTCCCCAATGCAATTCCTCTTTTGATTTCCTGGCTGCTGGTATGAAGAGTGCTGACTGTAGAGCCAAGCAAACTAAAGCTGTTAACAATCTCAATCTCTTCACTGTCAGTCATGATATATGCCAATTTGCCCAGTGGTGAGAATCTTTGTTTTCTTGATGTTGAGTTTCAATCCATATTGAAGGCTTCAGTTCTTGACCTTCTGGAGCATACACTTCAGTTCCTTCTCAGTTTCAGCAAGCAGGTTTGTGTCATCTGCTTAACACAGGTTGGTTGTTGATAAGTCTTTCTCCAATCCTAATGCCACATTCCTCCTCATAGAGTCCAGTCTCCCAGGCCGCATATAGATTGAAAAAGTATGAAGATAGGACACATCCCTGGTGTAAACCCTTCCTGATTTTGAACCATGCAGTTTCCTTGCTCTGTTCTGACCACTGTCTCCTAGTCCGAGTATAGGTTTCACAAAAGTACAATCAGGTGTTCTGATTCTTATTCTTCTCAGAGTCAGCCACACTTTGTTGTGATCCAGTCAAATTGGCTTTGCATAGTAAATGAAAAACAGACATTCCCCTGGTCCTCTCTGCTTTCAGTCAAGATTCATCTAACATTAGCTAAAATATCCCTAGTATCATAGTCTCTTCTGAACCCAGCCTGCACATCTGGCAGTTCTCTGTTAATGTGCTGTTTTGGCCATTTTTTGATGGTTTTCAGCATACTTACAGCACTTGTACGAGCAACCCAATTGAAACATTGCTCTGTCTTGTGTTATCCTCAAAATCTCTGCCATGCTCAAGCCCACACTATCAATCTCTCTTTTTGAGGGTCCACATAGAGAAAACTGTTTTTGTATCAGTACTGTTTTGAAGATTAAAATGGATGATATATATCATATAATGCAATGCTGCTGCTATTAAAACTGGGACTCATTACTAGACAGTACTTGTTTAAAAGAGTTGATATTTTGGGGTTGTTGTTGTTGTTATGTGCCATCGAGTCGCCTGCAACTCATAGTGACCCTATGTACAACAGCCCTAAACTCCGCTGTGTCCTGTGCCAATTGCACTGTCTCTGACACTCCCATCCCAATTATCCCAGTCACTGAATCAATCCACCTCATA